GCTGGTGGGTTTGGAGTGGCTGGTGGGTTTTAATTGCCCACCTTTCAGTTAGCCACTTGTTGCTTTAACCACTGCACCACCAGGGCTCCTTCTGTAGCTCTCACAATATCCTTTAGTTCAACTGAATAGTTTTTCCAAATAAATCACAAAAATGTGCCATCCTGTGGAAATATTTCATAAGCCTTGTGCTTGACACAGATAATTTAATTTATATAAGTGTTGAATAGGTGCAATTACTATTGTTTAATGCCCTAAGATAAATCATTACTCTTTTCTGGGACACTGTCTGTTTTCAGCTTTCATTTTAAACTGAGGCTCTGTAACTCTTACTTTGCAAATTTTAGCATCTAGAAAGAGTGGTAAACCAGTGCATTTTCTTAGAGGTATGTAAACTGTGCTCAAGGAAGCCTACCATCTTGTATATGGGCAGTTAGTGCAGGGGGTTATACTGGGTCCCTATCTGAAAACAATGATTTCTACAAGTAACAGCAACAAACATGGCACAGTAATCCATTATTTTTTCCTCTGTGTTTTGGACACTGTAATCCATCAGATGAACAAGTCATGAAAAGGATTATTGTGTTATTTTGAAAAATAGGAGGCTTTTCATGCCAATGTACGGCCAGACGGCCAGTGAGCCCTTGGTTAGAGCTTACTTTCTTCTTTTTCCAAAGCAAAGCCGGCCTGTGACTTGGTACTGAGCTCTCTTTTCCCAGGACTCCCCATCAGCATACCTTTTTTTTGTGGTTGACATATGTTAAATTTTTCTTTTTTCTTCTTTACTTTTTAAATAAGGATAGAATCGTTTTGATTGATTACTATTCTTCACTTTAAAGTTTTTCAAATGAAAATAAATTTAGTAATTACATAGAAAGTAAAAATCAATCTGATATCCAACAGTGAAATATTTTAATAGGAATTTATCTAGTACTGCTGCAATCCAAAGAGGAAGCAAATCAGTCCTTTAGGAGAACTAACAGCCAGGATGTATATGGAACCAAGGGATGAATGAGTTCTTGGAAGTAACACAGGCAGGGACACTGCTTA